AAAAAAAAAAAAAAAAAAAAGATGCGGAGTGGCGAAGTCGATCGTTTGAAGTTTCAGCCGACGATAAGGGATTTGACCGGTGCGTCAACCCTAAGTGGCACGGAAAACCTGAGTGTCGGGTGACCCTCAAGTCGCGAATCTCGCCCGCAGACGGCAAGGGATATCTGTTTGGGCCGCTGCTGAGGTTCCTTCGAAAGGCTGTTGATTAGAAGACTCCGGGGAATATTCGCTGCAAGTCTGACGCGAACGTCAGATTGCTCTACAGCGATTTGCTGCAGTGGCTGGTAAACGGTTAACCAGCCAAACATCTTCAATCAAGGCTTGCTCAAGTCAGTTCGTTCCGTGAATTTCCTTGCCCGACGTCGAACCCTGTCAGTGTCTGTCAGAGTCCGTCAGCGTCAGTCCGTGTGCAGTTTTAAGATCAAACTTGTTGTCAGTTGTCCTTGGTCGATGCTAACCCCCTCTCTGAGTCCGTTCCATTCTGATGACAAGAATGCAATTGATGTATCCTGACCTCACTTGATTGCCAGTCAGTTACGCAAATGCCAACCGTGAACGATGTGTGTCCCAGTCGTCGGTTCGGTCTCTCAGTCAGTCCGGTCAGTTGGCAATTACTGTAGGCAGTCAGAAAAGGGTCAGTCTGTTAATGATGACTTGTCTCCGTCAGATGTCAGGTCGTCAATCAAATGGCATACTCCTATCTTGATTAGAGCACAGATTTCCCAGACTGCATTCGCGGGAAAAGAGATCGGCTCCAATTTTATTTTTCTTCTTGACTGCAAAATCAAGGTATCTCTATCCCTTGTTGTGGAATGCTAGCAGTGTTGGGAAGGCTCTGCAATAAGCTTGTTCAAAAACGATTTTGTGTTTTGTTCGAGTTACAGACTGTTCTTTGACATTTGAAACTACCTGTCGTGTAACCCATACCTTTAAAACAGCACAGTCTAACTCTCATTATCTGAGTTCTAGGTGTGAACGGTAATCTAAGTTATTTTACTTTTACTTTTATTTTATTTGTATTTATCTGACAAATAAAAGGTTAAGAGACCAGAATGGCAAAGGAGGTAAAGGAGGTTCGGGAAACATTGACGCCTAATGGAGAGGGGAAACAAGAAACAATAGTGGAGGACCCGGTGGAAGCCGCCCTGCGAGCAGCAAAGGAAATTGCTGCCAAACCTCAGAAGGAAGTGGAAAGAATTGAGAGAGAAAAGGCAGAAGCAGTCCAGAAAGGAAAGACAGCAGCCACACAAGATGAGCTGCAAGAGAGTTTTGAGAAGGCCAAGTCTGATGGCCGTGTTTCTAACATTGTTCAGAATCTTGCAGAGCGGGCCCTGCCGGAATCCACTCATACCAAAAACGTTTTTTCGGTCTGGGATGACAGGATTACATCTATAGAGACCAGATTGGCCTCGATGGACGCCACCCTGCAACGACTACCAGATGCCTTCTTCAGGCACTTTTGACCATGTCCTACCCCAACTCCTACTCCTACCCTCCCCCCACTCCTCCTCCCCCTCCACTTGTTACCTCATCACTACAGCAACCCCATCCAGGCATAGTGCCCACGTCGAGACCGAATTCTGGCTATAAACAATCTGAACCGCGGTTTCCCAAGATGGCCCAGCCTGACAACTTCACTAGGGAAGACCCAAAAGTGGACAACTCGGACTGGATAGCCCAAACGAGGTCACACCTCGGGGGCTACACCTGTCCAGAAGTGGACAAGGTACGTGCCACAATGGCCCTCTTGGCAGGGGCTGCGCTGAAGTGGGCAACTTCTGAGGCCAACAAGGCCAAAATCAGCTAGACGATTGGATTGTTGTGATTGGTCTGGACATTATCTTTGAGGGTCTAGAAACCAGATTAGCTGATAAGGAAAAGGCCCGCGAGGCTGCTGATGAGCTTGTGAGACTAGGCCAGGGTAAATGGCGAGGATCTCTTTCCAAGCTCTATGCCGAGTGGGAACAACAAACATCAACTCCTGATCTAGAAATGTCTGAGCAGGACAAACTAACACGGTTTGTCAGAGCTGCTCCAAACACATATTCCAAGGCCCTGTACACTGCAGGCCACAAGGATTGGATGTCTTTTGGCAGTGCAGCACTGGACATGGAGGCCACCCTTCATCTTCAGTCCTCTTCCCATAAAGGAAGCACCTCCTCTTCCCAGAGCACGAGAAAGGGAAAAGGGGGATTTTATGTTGCAGGTTCTAATGATGCCTTTGCAGGCTCTGCTCAGGAGGGATCTGCTTCCCCAGCTGATCTAGATACAAGAGACACATCAGATCGGCTGCCCTGCTGTTGGGTCAGACTCTAATGAGCTTCATAAAGGGCAAAAGTCAGTTTCAGCCCCAAAAGACCACCAGTCCCAAGGGTTCAGGCAAACGCCCAAGTAGCCAGCAGGCACCCAACCTCCCAAAGGGTGCCCAATGCCCAGCTAATCCCCTAGAGAGATCTTAAGATTGCAGAGGGAACATGGCAAAAAAGAAAGGATCAGGGAGTTCGTCTGCGTTGTCAAAAGCACTTTGTCAAAGACTGCCCTACGTGGGGCAGCAAGAGTTCAAAAAACTGAGCAGGCCCGCAGAGGTAGCAGCCACCCCTGCTGAACTGCATTCACCCTCTGTGGAAGGTGAATCAGTCCATGAGCTTGTGTCTGGAGGTTGCAACTGACTCTCTGTATTCGTACACTGAGCCCTTTCTGGATGAGCCCTTATCTGAGGAAGAGACTGATCAGCTCTGCTCCCTTCATCTCCAACTGAAGGAGAAGAGAAACGTGAAGTCAGATCTGATTTTTCTCAAACCTCTGATTAACAGAACCTGAATCAAGGCGTTGTTGGACTCTGGTGCTACACAAAATTTCATCTCCTGTATAGGCGTACAGAAACTTCATTTGGGACTCAAGGTCTCAGACCTTGAGCATCCCTTATGTATACAGGTTGGGAATGCCCAGTCTGTCACAGTCCAACAGGTCATCAAAGGTGTGTCAGTCACCTTTGATGCCAAAGGAGAAGTCAAACATAGCCTAAACTTCTATGTGTTTCCACACTTGCTTTTTGATCTGGTTCTAAGCCTGAAATGGTTCAGGGCAACTAATCCACCCATTGACTGGGTTGTGCCCAGTATTCAGTTAAAAACTAAACAAGGTGAGCTTAGACCTTGTGTCTTAGCAACATACTATCACCCTAAGACAAGTTGCTATTGCCTGAAGGCATCAAATTTCTACAACTTGTCTAAACAAATTGACCATTAAAATCTCTTTGTGGCCTATGTGGCGCAAGCTGATTCATCCACCCCTCAGAGTGACCCCATCATCAAAAGGTGGTCGATAAGTATACTAACTTAACTCAAGAGCCTTTTGGACTTGTCCATAGGCAAACTAAACACCACATTGAAACCCTCCCTGACTCTACCCCTCCTAAGGGCAAAGTATATAGGATACCTCTTATTGAGTTAGATGAGTTAACGAAACAGTTGGAGACACTTAACTGAGAAGGGTTGGATCAGGCTCAGTTCATCTGAGTATGGAGCACTAGTTCTCTTTGTCCCAAAGGGAAATGGTGAACTCAGGATGTGTATTGACTACAGGGGCCTGAACAAAATCACTAGGAAGAGCTCAGAGTCCTTGCCTAGGATCGACAATCTACTCGATATGGTGCAAGGCTTCAAAGTCTTCAGCAAAATCGATCCAAAATCCGAGTATCATCAGATCGAAATGGATGAGGATGTTTATAAGACTGCCTTCAAAACCCAGTATGGCACCTACGAGTTTCTGGTCATGCCTTTTGGGTTATGCAATGCCCAGGAACCTTCCAGACAGAAATGAATCAGGTCTTCAAACCTTTTCTAGATCGTTTTGTTACCTGGATGATATTTGGTGTTCAGCAAAAATGTTGTTGACCATGTTGATCATCTCAAGAAAATTCTGCAGACTCTCAAAGAAAACAACCAAAAATAAATACAAAAAAGTCATATTTTAGTACTTCTGTTTTGTATTTGGGACATGTAATTTTTGCGGATGGTCTTTCCCCAGAAGCCTCCAAGGTGGCTGTTGTCAGGGATTGGCCACAACCACAAACTGTTAGGGACATTAGGTCTTTCATGGATCTCGCATCTTACTACGGGAAGTTTATTAGAAACTTCTCTACTGTGGCCACTCCCCTGACTAACCTATTAGCAAAGAATGTTCCTTTCAGATGTACACCTACATGTCAATTGGCTTTCTCCAGATTGAAGAAAGCCTTCACCCAAGCACCTGTGTTGAAGCTCCCTGACCCTACTCTGCCATTGTGTTAACCACTGATGCCAATCAATATGGTATAGGGGTTGTCCTTCAACAAGATGACGAGTCTGGCCTCAAACCTGTGGAGTTCATGAGCAAAAAGATCAAGGCTCAAAAGATCCAAGCATCTACTTATGAGAAAGAATTGTTTACCCTTGTGTGTGCCCTCAAACAATCTTGTTGAGAAAACACTTCAAAGCTAGGCTGCCCCGTCGCCCGGCCGGGCGGACCCCGGCCGGTTGGGCCCGGGGGGTCCGCCCGGGTGAACCGGGCGACGCAAAAACAGGGCCAGGAATTTTTTATTTTTTTTTCCTGATGGTGGGGCTGTGCTGCGCTGCACTAGAGGACCCCGAATCCGCAATAAAAAACTGAACTGGGGGATTGGTTGTGGGGGTGG